TTCCAATCAAATGGGAAGAAATAAGTAATTAACTGTTCAGCTCCTGCTATATGTCATTCAGTTAAGATGCATGAAAATTTAGAAGGTAGGAAATTTGGTTGAATTTGATAGACTGGCTTAATGGACCAGAAATCAGTCTCTTTATCATGTTGAGGTTTGGTATGTTCGTTGAGAACATATAACACTCCTATGATTACATCAATTGTTCTCTCTTTTCATCCAGATATTTGTAGTTGTACAGTCACTGCCTAAGAGCAGGGGGTAATTTATTGCTTGGTGCATTGACATAATTTAGCATTTACAAATTTGAAATTCCAATTAAAATCAATAAGACATTGTTATGCTGTAATGAAGAGGGATGGTGGGGGGAAGGGAATATCTTAACAAACAATGGAAGCAAACACATTGCAACACTGAAAATTCTTTATAATAACATTGGGCCAATAAACATGATTAATACCAGAAGACGCAAAAATTTGAAAGATCAATTGTTAAGGAAAAAGGGAACCAGCCCATCATTTCAGCACTATATTCAATATATGAATTACTTCACCATTACAGAACAGTAATTTGTAAAATGATGAGCAAAAAATTGACAAAGAAAGATGCATTTAGAAGACACAAAATTGTATAATATTAATGTTATTGCACTATCACAGCAACAGCATATAGCAATACTAGAGATGAGACTATATTAATAATTATAAATTGAAAAACTTTTAGTGTACAGTCAATATTAAATAGCGTATTTGGCATAAATCTAATGTTTTATACATCATATATTCCAACTAAACTTGAACAGAAATGTTGTTAAAACCTCATTAAAGGATTCCAAAGTTTTGTGTGCTTTGGATGAACTTTTTCTCACAACTTTCACCTTTGTTGACTACTGGGTGAATGGTAGAATGAAGGTAGTTTCCAGCTGTTCCAATCTTCACTGAGTATGGATATAAGATACTATCCTGCACTCTAAGGGTAATTGTATATGAAACAAGTGGCTGATGAGTGTAGAACATTCTTGATATTTGGATTAGGAGGCATTAATTCTCTTAACACATTTTTTTCCCTTGACCTAAAACTCTTACCATTTTTAAATGTATAAAAATTGACTTATGACTCAATCTGGAATTTTGGTGGCCCCAAATATTATATTGTACTATGCTCCTTTGTGAAGATACAATAACACCCACTATCCTTAAAGCTAACAAAGTATTAGGTTATTAAGTATGAAATGTCCAATTTCCTTAAGAACTAAGTTTGACAGTTGATATCTCTGACATTTTACTTTGACACTTCTTGTTTTATTTATATTATGAATGTATAGCCTCATTCTTACAAATGCATGGTTTAGCTTATGATTATCTTTCAAATTTTTTAGGGCAATTTTTGTGAAACTATGGATAAGTCTAAAATTCATGTTATTTTCAAATTTGAGTTCTGTTGTGGAACCAATGCTGCACAGACTGCTCAAGATATCAGCAAAGTGTTTGGGAAGGATGTGGCTAATGAATTCACAGTACATCAATGGTTTAAGAAGTTCCATTCTGGTGATTTTAATCTTGAAAATGAGCCACATGGGCAACCTGAGACCAAGATGGATAATGATGAGCTGAAACCTGGA